CACTGGCTACTGTACGAACGTCCCTCAGCACACGGCTCCGGAAACAGTTTCCTGCTGTGTTCGCCCCAGGGCTGGGGTGTTGCACAAAAACAAAAGCTTCGCTCAAGCTCAAGCCGGACGCGACTCCTGTCTTACGGAAAGCTCGTCCAATTCTATATGCTGTTCAGCCAAGGATCAGCCAAGAAATAGATCGCCTGGTAGCTGGAAAGGTACTGACGCCGGTGGAACACTCCGACTGGGCAGCGCTGGTGGTCGTCGTTCAGAAGAAGAATGGATCGATCCGTCTTTGCGCAGACTTTTCTACGGGCCTGAACGACGCACTCGAGCAGCACCAGCACCCGCTTCCGGCTCCAGACGATATCTTCGCTAAGCTCAACGGTGGAAGGTACTTTTCCCAACTAGACTTGGCTGAAGCGTATTTGCAGATAGAAATGGGCGAGGAATCGCGACAACTGCTCACAATCAACACACACCGCGGCCTATATCGCCTCAATCGCTTATCTTTTGGAGTGAAAGCGACACAACTCTCGCCTAGAGACAGTTTTTAGGCGAATTCAAGACTTCGGATTCCGCCTACGCTTGGAACAGTGCTCACTTTTGCACACCGAAATCCGCTATCTTGGCTTCATAATCGATGCCGAAGGACGACGACCAGATCCGGCTAAAATTGAAGCAATCCAGGGAATGCCAGTACCTAAAGACGTCGGCCAATTGAGAGCCTTCCTCGGATTGATCAACTTCTACGGAACACTTGTTCGTGAACTGCACAATCTACGCGCTCCACTGGACGCACTCACCAAGAAGGACGTCGCCTTCACATGGTCACCGGAATGTCAATCCTGCTTTGATCAAATCAAGACGACTCTCAAATCCGACCTTCTTCTTGCACACTACGACCCTACTCTGCCGCTTATCGTCGCCGCAGACGCTTCTAATTACGGAATCGGAGCTGTTCTCTCACAGAGATTCTCCGACGGACACGAAAAAGCTGTCTATCACGCCAGCCGTGCTTTGACGTCAGCACAGAAGAAGTATAGCCAGATTGAGAAGGATGCCCTGGCTATCATTTTTGCAGTCCAAAAATTTCAACGCTTCATACATGGACGCCACTTCACGCTGAGGACGGACCACAAACCGCTCATC